GAATAGAAGAATGACATGATACAGTCTACATGTTTTTAAAAATCCTTTGATATCTCTGTAGATAATGGAGTAGAAAGATACAGGAGCAGAACAGGATAATGACTACTTAAAAGCTATGATCTTATTCCAGGGAGGGTATAATAGCTTAAGGATGCTTAAGGAAGCATCATAGCAGTAGAGAAGGAGATGGATGAATATTTTATATGTGTATTGTCTGGCATATTATCTTATCATAATTATTGTAAAGATGGAATGCATATATACATACATCTTCAGCTGCATCCCATCTTTATAATAATTATGATGATAGTAATAAAATAAAATGCCAGACAATTTATTAAGCCCTTTCAAATGCATTATGCCACTTAATGCTTAGAACCTCTTTTTTAAAAAGTAGGTACTGCTTTATTAATCATTCTGTTATTAAATTAAAACAAAAGTCAGAAAGGTAAAATAATTTTCTCAAGGGCATACAGTAGAAAGTAGTGTTGCTGGGATCTGAGCTCATATGTGTCTTGATTCTAAAATCCATATCTTTAAGCATTTCCCAGTTGTGCACTTGCCACCTGATCTGGAGAATATGTGTAGATTCTATCCCTCTGCACTGGTATCAGGGATTGTCTTCAGCTTCTGGACTCTCAGGTTTTGGAGTGACCTCAGAGACAGTGGCTATGCCAAGAGCATCGTCTGAGGCAGTTGTGGTCAGTTTCAAATCTGCCCCAGTATCAGTATCACCAGCGGCTCTAGGTGCTCTCCTCCAGAGTGCTCTAGTGTTTCAGAAAAGTGGCCTTTATAAAAAGTGAGAGGAATTATTGAAGCTTTACCCTTGTGCATTAGGAAGAGTGGAATGATAATTGCTTTATATTGTGTGGTGCTGCAGATAATCAAGCAGAGGAATTGGAATAACTGTTTTGAAAGGAATGTGAAAGATCACCAAACCAGAAATGTTTTAATGAGAGGAGCAGGGTACAAATCCTGAGCAATAGCATGTGGTAAATAAAGTATTCAGAGTAGATCACTAAGAGGATATGCTTTGATGGGGGAGGGGAGAGGAGAATAGACTGATGAAATATAAAGATCTCGACATAGTTGCAGAGAGGAAATGTGGAAGAACGTGTCAGACGTTAGAGGAAAATATAGCAATAATACATACCACAATTGAAAGGTCACTGTGTGCAATTAAATACATCGCCTCTTTTAATTCATTCTCATAATTGCTCTTATTTAGTAAGGCTCAAAGATATCAAGAAAATTGCCTTGTATTACACAGCTAATATGTGGTGGAGTCAGTATATTACATCTGTCTGCCGCCCATGTTGAACTAAAATAACTGTATTCTCCTGACACAAAGGGGAAGAGAGGGGCATGGATTTTGAATGAATCCTCTCTATAATTCTTGTCTCTAATCACAAAGGGAAAGGGAGCCCATAAAGAGAGTACAAAAGAAGAGCAGAAAATACGTTACCTGTCCAGGCTTTAGAATGACCTCTCTTTAGAAGATAACCACTCTGGCTGAGAGATTAAAGTGAAGGCTGCAAAGCTTGACAAATAGCACAGGCAAATCCTGAAAGGCTGTATCTCTAGTGACAGAATGAGGTTTCTTGGGAGTTACTGCAGACACCAGACAAACAGCAGTACATTTTGCATCATGCATGGAGGATAATAAGACTGAGGAAATTTCTGCTCTAACTGTCCCCTTCTTTAGTTTGACATATTCTGTGTGTGGTAGCAGGGGGTGCAGAGGGCAGATCTACACTAGAACTTAGAAATGTTAAAATGTACATGATGCCACCAAGCAGAATTTAACTGATTGCCTTTTGGTCAAGGGAGCCTATTTCTAGGGTGAGAATCTATTACCCAAGACAGAAGGGACTTCTAGCTCAAAGGCTGATGCTGGTAAGGAGGAAGACAGTGTGCTCTTGAGATCTGTGACTTATAATAGTTCATAGCTAATTGCCGGTTACAATGATGGCTGCCATTTACCAAGTAATTCCTAGGCTAGGTGCTGTTCTAAGAGCTTCCCATGCTTTAGTAGCATAGCATTCAATTCTCATAAAATCCCGGATACTATGTGCTATAATTATAATAATTCCCATTTTACAGATAAAACAGATAATGAGAAAGGTTAACAAAATTGTCTAAAGTCATACTGTTAGTATAGGTATCACAGGTGGGATTTGAGCCTAGGAGATTTGACCCTACATCTCGTGTGTTTAGCCACTATATGGTGCAATGTCTATTTTAAGTTCCATGTCTCCTATCTTTCTGAGTTCTCTTTGGATTTGGGTACATACATCTCACTTGCTTTAACATTTTAGAATTCCAGAAGTGACTATGCAGATTAGATCTTGGGACACTCTTAACTTTGCCTATATTAAAAATAATAAAAACTCATTTATAAGCAGCATTGGAAATTAACTGACTGCAAAAAATTTCTCTACTGTGAAGAACTCTACAAACAGTCTTTTTCTCCTATATATGTAAAAAAAGAACCTTAGCTAGAAACTTGGGGGTAGAAGTACTTATTACAGAACTTAATACACAAAAGTACAGTAAATACTGCTTGAAGAGTGGAGATGTGAATTGACATACTTCAATAATGTCTATAGAAGTTTCTAATTTTTTCTTAAAAAAAAATTTAGGCCTAACTATCCCTCTCTGAATGAGTATGCTGGGGATTGGCTCAGTTGGAAATGTATGAGTGGATCAAGACTTAGAAGAGTGTTTTCCCTCTAGACTGTTGCCAGTGATGACATGAGAAGATGAGACACTGTCAAAGGTTAAGAGCAAAGCCAGAGAAGGAAGGGCAAATGGGCCACCAGACTAGAGACCAAAAACTAATATGGAAACCTGGAGTCCATTGTCACCATGATTAGCAAGAAGCAATAATCAAGATAAAAAAGAGTCATCTGGACCAGGGGGTACTGTCACCAATGCTTTTATATGGAGGCTGCAGCAATAGGTTAGGTTGCATGTCTCCGGCTTCATTTTGAAAATATATACAAGTGGATGGAAACGTGGAGTGAAATGACAATATCCTCTCCCTTAGTCAACTAGGAAATTTTTTCCTTCAAATATCCACTTTTCTCACTGTACATTTTCCGGATTTCTCTCCTCTGATGATAGTCACTCTCAATAAAGTGATCTGAATTGCCCTTCTCTATACCTCAAGTGTGAGAAATGAAATTTCTGTCTTTCTGCTCTTAGAGGCATCTGGCACCCTGCAGAGCCAACGGGGAGAGATGAGCTTTTCTTTTCTTTTCTTTTCTTTTCTTTTCTTTTCTTTTCTTGTTTTAAGATTTTATTTATTTATTAGAGACACAGCAAATGAGAGAGAGAGAGAGGCAGAGAGAGAAGCAGGCTCCATGCAGGGAGTCCAATGCGGGACTTGATCCCGGGTCTCCAGGATCACGTCCCAGGCTGAAGGCGGCGCTAAACCGCTAAGCCACTGGGGCTACCCGAGCTTTTCTAATTTCAGCCAGAAATGTATTATATTAAATGGGACTCAAAAGTGGGTTATTGCTTTATCGATTAAGAGTAAAGGTTTTGGCAACAGACACCAGGCTCCCACCTATGCTCTACTACTTACTCACTCACTATGTTACTCTACTGCTCTGCATGACCCGAGCAAGGTTACAATGGCCCGGAGCAAGGTTACAACGTTATATTCATTCCAACTTCTTAAAATTGCTTGGGTAATTGAGTTAAAGAATGAAAATGAGGCTTAAGCTTAGTAAGCACCCAATAGATGATGGCTATTATTTTTATTGATATTATTATCATTAAAAATGGTCAACAATTGCAGTGTATGGATGTTAGGGGAGAAAGAGCTTATTTAAAATGCCCCAGATTCCTCCTGGCAAGCAATGAGCATTCACTAAATGGGTCGTACAATGATCATGATCTGCGTATTATTATTCTGAGATGCTGATACTTGCAGGACAGCCTAAGAAGCTTAAAATCTATTCAATTACGTCTCTTTTGTCTTCACTGCACTGAAGTTTTCTCTCACTCTATTTAACTATATTTCACCACAGAAATTGACTATCTCTACCTTGACACAGGGCCATTTTCTAACTTAAAATATTTGGTGTTTTATTGGAACAAAACAGGGATGAAGCACAATGTACAATGCTTGATTTAAGAATCATGCAACTCTATTAATACTATTTCATCCCCCTACTTTCGGACAGGGATTGAATTATCCAGACTCTGTTAAGGTCACGGTTGATTTGAATTATGCACTCTAGTTTAACAGTGGAAAATATGAAGTTCTTCTAGCTCAGTGAGCTTAGAGAAATAGATTGATAAACTTCAGAATTAAAATGGGACTATAGGAATAAGAAGGATACATTTATGAAGAATAGTTTTGGAAATATTAAAATTACTTTATAAAAATAGAACCAAGGCTTTTATTAATCTAAATTTGAAAAATTTCAAATAGATGATTCGACCAAATTTCCTATTCACTCATTCATTAGTTAATTCAGGAGGTATTTATTTAGTGCTTATTATATCCTTTTTTTTAATATCCTTTTTTTTAAGATTTATTTATTCATTCATTAGAGACACAGACTGAGAGAAAGAGGCAGAGACACAGGCAGAGGGAGAAGCAGGCTCCTCACAGGGAGCCTGATGGGGGACTCGATTCTGGATCCTGGGATCACGACCTGAGCCAAAGGCAGGCGCCCAACCGCTGAGCCACCCAGGCATCCCTAGTGATATCCTATAGGTGCTTGAAATTTACATCATATTCATCTCCAACACTGGATCATAGAATTGGATTGAAGAACAACAAAAGACTAATGGAGTAAAATAGAATTTTTCAGTGGTCTCAAATTATACTCCATTACTGATTTTTTAATTTAGCAAGCTTATTTCTTCCCACTTTATACCCCAATCCCTGCTTTCTTACCCCATCTAACCTCTGCCCAAGGCTGGAAAGAGATTGGAGGGCAGGAGAGGAGAAGCCAGGGTATTTCTGCTTCCATCTTGCTTACCTTACCGTCTCCATGTCCCTTTCTTCTCTCAGCTGGCTCTAGTAGTACTGTTTTCTCTCTTTGTTCCTTCAGGCTTAGCAGTGGTAATACCTTTCATTTTCTGGCAGTATGTGAGTGCCTGTACACCCTTTCCTGGCTTCCTTATCTCTGTCCACCCCTTTGTAGACAGTCCTTTCATTGCATTGTTTTCAAAATCCCATCTGTGTGAGCCTTTTCTTCCCTGCCTGGACTCCAACTGATAGATAAATAAATGCACCTGCCTCACTGCGATAAGAATTTGTTCATTACTAACAATAAACAAAAAAGAATCGCGTAAAACAGTTAATATTTCAAAATATACATCTTTACCCCTGAACATCATGAAGTGAAACTATCTGTTGTTATGAATCATGTTTATATACACATATCTAGGGATGTATGTAGAGGGCATTGGCCATCAGTGACTTCTAGACAACAGTTTGCCTGCTAGCTTTTGTTGTCCTGAGGTTTTTAATTAACATACCCATTGTTTTGTACAGGTGAGCCCTACATGCCCAAAAGCATCTGAACAGGTACATCAAGACTTTCCATCAGAGATTGAGTTACTCCTACTCTTTCCTCACAATGCTCTTGATTGTAGAGAATAGCGACAAGAAACCAGAAAGGAAACACCATTCTTTACAATTTAGCAGGAAAATCAAAAGAAATAGGCAGGCAATCTGCTGTTCCTTCCCCATATGGGTGACAGCAATGCAATCGGAAAAATAAGTACTAATTAGCTAAATGAAAAGCTCAAACTGGGATTGTTGAAGAGTTTAATTTTAGGGCAAACTGAGATGGTTTCCCAATCCTAGGGATGTAGAAACAGACAGGAACACAGAATGTCTCACCTGCAAAAGCTGGTCAATAAAATCCTTTATGTCTCAGGAGGAACACCAATGAAGTTATTTAGCAGAAATGCTAACACAGATTCTAGTTAAGAATTAAATAATTTGAGTATTTATTCATATCTTACTCTGAAAATCAAAGTAATAATATTGTTCTGAATAATTATTTATATTCATTAAGAGTAGGTTATCAAAGTACACATTGGAATTAGGTTTCCTAAATAAAATATTTATTGGAAACTCCAAAGAACCTACTGTACAAATATATTGCTATGGATTGAACAGTGAGAGATTATTTCTGCCTGGGTCAAATGACTATATTGAAAATTAGGTGAAGAGTTTCTACAGTCTATTTATTGAAACATTTCAAATATTTATTCCCTTTCTGCCAGATTAGGAAACACATCTAGAAGAAAAACAATTATATTTGCCCTCGGATTATCATTTGCTAATCTAATAATTCGTAACCCATTCCTTTTCTGGAATTAGGTAAGTAAATCTCACACTTGGTTTCCAGAATATTCTGTCAAGATATTCACATCATCTTCAGTCTCCTGATTTCCCTTTCATTCCTTATTGTTTCTCAGAGACTACTAACTGTGAATAAATAATCTAATTTGCAGTTTTTCTTGATACCCCAGGTTATAATTTGCCTATGTCAGGAGACAGACTCATTTTGAGATTATATATTATTGCAAACAACTCACTTATCTTGAGATTTAATTCTCTTTTCACCAGCATTAAATCCAGCTTTTTGTGATCTGAGGCTCTTTCTTAGGGGCATTAAAAGCACCAACAAGACAAAGAAAACAAAAACAAATAAGAGTTGAATAATTGAACATTCCCTTTATCTTGGTGATTTTTATTTCCTCTGTCTGCCTTGGGCTTCAGTTGGCTCTTATAAATACAAGAGATCTGACTTTTAGGGAATGGGGTCTCATGCTTTTTTCTTACTCTGCCTTCAAACAAAATAATTTTGATAGAAACAACACTGGGCCAACCACATTTATCTTGGTAATTACCAAATATTAGCTTTTGAGATAGTTCATTCTTATAACAAAAAAAATATTCCATTTGATATCAAGCTTCTTCTTCTTTTTTTTTTAAGATTTAATTTATTTATTTAAGAGAGAGAGAGAAAAGGTGAGAGGAGGGGCCGGGGGGAATGGAGGGAGAGAGAGAGGGCATTCCCAGCAGACTCCATACCAAGTGCAGAGCCCAATGTGGGGCTCGATCTGGCCACCTAGAGATCATGACCTGAGCTGAAACCAAGAGTCAGTCCCGTAACTGATGGAGCCACCCAGGCACCCCTTGATTCAAGCTTCTGACAAGCTGGCTTGGTATATAGTTTAACACAGAGAACTGCTGATGCTAATGAGTGCACAGATTTTCTGAACCAAATATAGTCTCTTAGTTCACATCATGATATTAGGAGATCAGCAAGATAGAACTGGCAATAATTCTGGAAAGGAGCCTTACATTAAAAATCTCATTTGGAAAAACTGCTTCCTACTGGCTATTACAGTGGAGTAACTATATTAATGAAAGATGGAAATCCTTGGTTACACTTTATATGATTATAATCTTCAATTACTAAATAGGCTTCTGGTTAAGCCCAAAGGAAATTTGACTTACATTTCTGATTAAGGGAGAAATAGACTTAATTATGTGATGATCCACATTCCCCCCCCCCCCTTCCCTAAAGAAGACATTTTGGATTCAGGTGAGGATCATCCATGCCCCCTTAACTTCACTCTGTCCTTCAGTGTTGCACCTGATCTGAAAAAGCATAAAACTGCAATAGTGAAAGCAAAATGAGGCTCTTTAGAATGTCATGGGTGACCTCAGGAAGTTAATAAAATGCCCAGTATTCTGCTCATGATTCTTCTGAGAGAGATTTTTTTCCTTCTGAATCCATATCAATATAGAAACTACAGAATAGCAGAATATAGGCAGCTATGGGCTCAATGTAATGAAAAGAACAGGAAAAAAATTATACTGGTGAATTTTTGAGATTAGACCTAGGAAATATTAAAGTTAATATCTTGTTTAATAAATGACTTCACTAGAAGCCAAAAGAAAATTTGGTCCTAATATAAAGGTCAATATAAAATTAAGATTAGGCAATGGGGTTACTCGTGGATGAATTCTGTGAAATTACTATAAAATCACAAATCTCTTTTGATGACCACATAAGATATTTACCCCATCTATTTGTCAATCCATAGATGGTAATGTTTTCTATATTAGGCATTAAGTGACAATTTATTTTTCAAGATAATATCAGTTACCTAAAAGTTTAAAAGACTCACAAGTAAATGTATTACATTAGGAATAGTTTGAGATTTATCCTTAGTGGTAAATTCAAAGCCTTACTATTTATTCTAATGCCCTGAGTACAGTTCTATCCAGATAGGCATAAAGTCTACTCCATCTGGAAAACATCTACTCCCTTAAATACTCAAATGATAAACCTATTAATCTACTCACCTTTACTGTAAAATTTTGTATCAACTCCCAATAATCTATGCTACATTCCAGCAAAAACAAAATGAGTTGGTTTTATATTGCTCCATTTAAAAAACTAGGACATGAGACTTGATGGGGTTAAGTAATTTTCTCAATGGTTTAATAAATTTTAAGACCTGCTTTTCCTTGTAATATTACACGATACTAATTTCTTAAACCATAAGCTTCATAAAGACAGAAGCTGTGTATGTTTGGTTCTATGTTATATACCCAATACCTAACTCTGTGCCTGCAGCTTAGTAGACATTTGCTGACTGTTCATGTTAAAGACACAGCCACCATGGAATGACCTCTGTTTCATTTTCATCAAGAAAATGGTATAGGATAACAAAATAAACTTTTTTTGTGTGTGACTCAGTAACCTTTTCCATCTCTTTGATTTCATAAAATAATGGAATTTTACACCTTGGGAGAAACTTCAGGATTATACACTCAGTTCCTTCATAACTGAATGTTTCTGTTTCCCAAGCAAAATAATTTTACTGTAAATCCCAAGTTAGCCTTGCTTTTCAAAGTTAGTATTATTACCAGAATGAGAGTTGTTGAAAATATTTTTTGATAGATTAGATACCAATTCTAAGCAATTTGGAATAGGGCTGTGTCCTAGTTTCCATTATTATTTCCTAAATTATTTTGATGTAGCTAATGGTTTTAGAATTACAAATCATCCAGCTAGGAGGAGTAAAATCAAGGAAACTACCTGCATTGATGCCAATGACATTAACTAGACATCTTTGACTAGTTATTGCCCCAAACCAGTTTACATTAATTTAGTAGCTGCCAAGGCAAACACTTTCAGTTGATCAGAGTTTCCTGCAAACACAGATGACCTTTCATATATACAATATCTCATTTTCTACTGCCTGCCTAGAACCCACACTATTTGGTTAAAGCTTTCATTAAGTAGTTTTATTTTACTATTTATTTGGAGACTTGTATTTCAGGTCGTAAATACAAAGTAGTCATAAAATCAAATACTATGAAAACCAAATATTGTTATTAGATTTTAGTTGTCTTCTGCCCTGGGCACTCTGGTTGGGAATCCAGAGTCAAGTACTAACTAGTTGGGTGGTGTAAGACAAGTTTCTTAACTGAGCTTTTCACCAGTTATCTCATTGATAAACTGTAGATAATAATAATCTTTATTTCAAAGAATTTTAGTGAAAATTAAATGAGATTAAGGTGTCAATTCTCCATAAACTGATCCATAGATTTCATTTTTTCCTAATCAAAATCTTTGCAGATTTCTTATTTTGAAAAAAATTGACAGTCTGATTTTAAAGTTTATGTGGAAATAGAAGGCAGTTTATTTGAAAACTAGCCAATGCAATTTTGAAGAAACAGAACAAATTTGGAAGCTTTTCACGGATTACATCTAAAGTTACATTGATCAAAACATTGATAAAGTGGGGCAATGATAGAGACACTGATCAATGGGATAAAATAGAGTGTCAGAAACAGACCTTCATATATTCAGTCTCCTGAAATACAATAAAGATGGCACTGCATTGCAGTGGGAAAAGGATGATCTTCTTATTAAATAAAGCTGCATTAATTGGATATCAATGTGAGAAAAAATATGTACCTTGACCCTTACCTCACACTATACCAAATATTCAATTCCGAGTGAATTGAAGATATGAATGTGAAAGAGAAAACAAAACTTAGAGAAGACCATTTTCATGGCCCTGGAAAAGGCAAGGATTTCTTAGGCAGAAAATAAAAATCCACTAACTATATATTTTTTAATTTATTAGAATTATATTAAAATTAAGAATTCTGTTTCAACCACTGATAATAGTGTCTAAAAGCA